AGCAAGTTTATATTAAATATGTATGGATTCTTAATTTTATTTCTTTAGGATTATTTCTTGTTTTTGATTCTTTATTTACATTATTAAAGATAACATAAAAGAAACTTTCTAATTTTCATGGTGCACACAGCAAGGGTAGAATCCCCTAAGTGAAATCAGAGAAGTAACTCATCACCACCCTGACATGAGCACTAGGTGTTTGCCATTCCGGGTACTTTTCCAACAGAGGCAAAATGTGTTATCTGTGGTTCAGTTCATTCATTCAATAACTATTTCTTGAGGACTTTCTATGCCCCAGACACTGTAACGATTACAGAAAAAATTGTATAATGGTAAACAAGACAACCATAGTTTCTGGCTTTATGGGACTGACATTCTAGAGGTGAGTACAGACAAATAAATAAGCAATTACAATTAATGTCATCCGTGTTATAATGTGAGGAGTACAGGTGCCAAGGGAGAACCTAAGGACATCAGAGGGTGACCTGCCCTTGTTGGGTAAGGGAAGGATTTCTGGAATAATCAATATCTGGGCAGACATGAAGAATTATCTGGAATGGGAATTAGGTGGAGAAGGCAGAAAGAGAAGGAACAAGAAGTCTCACGGGGAATGGGTTGAGTATTTGCAGTTGCATCTTCATCTTCTTGCTTAGCACTATTCTTTTGACTCAATTATTTGGAAGATTTTCATTTTGAAATAACAATTTCTACACTTTAACAGGAACTACCTTCATTTTTAGTACCTTACTGGGAACTAATAGAAAATTCCTATATAAATACCGTCAAAACAGTACTTAGACATCTGAGAGAATACCAGAAGACTGTGTTTGCTTACTTACATGAGATTAGGTAAGTAAAGTTTCCAAAGTCAGAATTTTATAGCTTATAGGCATGACATATAAGATCCTTTTCATTATTTTATTGTCTACAGAACAAGTTTCCAGGAGTTTCTAAGGCGTCCAGATTACAAGCAAGATTTTGTAGCTCAGTGGCAGACTGATTTCAACTCTCTTCCTGATGACCTGTGGAACGATGAGGAAACAAAGGCTGAGCTACACCAAAGAGTGAATGTAAGGAAATCTGTGACCTGCTGGAACAGGGTTGCCAGACTTTCATATCTTGTCCTGCAAAACACCAATTCATTCCCTTCTTACCTTCATGAAGTATGAGGATGAGAAAGGAAATGGTTTGAACTCTTAACCAGCTAACTTTCAAGATCAGTAGCTTTTCTGCACTTTGAGTTCAGAATGAGAAAACTTTGGCACTGCTTCTGGAAAGAGGAGCCAGGGTCAGCAGTCCAAGAGCATTATGGGCATCTGTCTTGTAGATTAGATTCCTAACCTCTCTGTTAGTCCACATAGCTGTTTTCATCCTTGGTGTTAAACCCATTCTTATCTTAAATGTAGTTATACGGCTTGTTGATGGCTTATTAAAGGAAAAAGGGAGTAAGGGGATTGCAGGGAAAACCTAAAGGGTTGTCTCTGTTGAATAGATCTCTTGAGAGAAGATACTAAATCTTACACATCTTTGTGCCTCCTGCAAGCACAATGCCTGGCAGTCAGTAGACAGACAGATTTTCGTAACTTCATGAATGAAGTATATTACCCTGATACTTTAGAACATGGCCTGTGATGTATAAGAAGCTTGATTCCAGTATCTTACCCTTCATCTTCCCTGTGTAAAATGGGCAGACCTCCTTATCTCTTCAGGGGGATCCTGTGCTGCTACCTTAAGTACAGGCTGCTAACAAACAAATCTGATTATGGCCTCAATATTTATTTGTGCAACAAAGCATTGCCAAACTCTTTCCCATGATCTATTCATCTGCTCAATAAATATTTATTAAGCATCTATCAAGGTCCCAGCACTGTTCAAGGGGCTAGAGATTCAACAGTGAACAAAACATCTGTGACCACACGATGTTTATGTTCTAGTGGCCAGAAGACAGAGAATAAGCAATAAACAAGTGAATATTTAGCGAATGTGTCACTAGTAATAAGAGCTATGTAGAGAACAAGAAAGCACAGCAAGAGGAAAAGAACATTTGATGTACCCTTTTATGTATGGTGGCTGTGGAGAGTCCTACCGAGAAGATGACATTTGAACAGACTCAGGACAGAGTGACTGAGTAAGCCATGTAGATACCTGGAGGAAGGGGGCATCAGGCACAGGAGAGAGCAAGGGCAAAGACACTGAAGGGGAAGGAAGTGTGTGGTGTGTTTGAGGAGGAGGCTGGTGTGACTGGAGCAGAGCAGAGCTGGGCAAGAGTGGCTGGTGATGAGTGGGAGAGTATCAGAAGGGACCAGATTATCTAAGGCTTGGAGGTCATTATGAGATTATCAGAGTTGATCTAAGTGAGATGAAAAGCCTTGGCCTCTGGTTTTAAAAGAGTCTATAGGCCGGGCGCGGTGGCTCACGCCTGTAATCCTAGCTCTCTGGGAGGCTGAGGCAGGCGGATTGTTTGAGCTCAGGAGTTCGAAACCAGCCTGAGCAAG